ACACTAAAAACCTAACTTATTCAATCATTTGCTACACCACAACTCTTGCATGGGGACAAACCAAGATCCAAACTTGCATTTTTATGACTTAAAATACCCTAAAATGTCTGAAAGGACAACTTAAAGGCTTTGGAGTACCTTATACTCACAAAGACCTAGGATTTGGGACAAAAGGGGGTAAAATTCTAAGTTTAACCAAGATCTAGATAAACATGCATCAAGGTTGGAGATTTATACCTCCAAAAGCTGCACTATGAAGAGAAAATGTTGGATCCAAGGACTTGAGAGCAAAACCACTTCTTTGATGATCTTCCTTCACAAACAAAAATGCCTACAACTCACTCAAAAGCTCAAAATAGGTTAGGGTTTGCAAGGGGGTCGATACGAGGGATGGAGGTTGATAAGAGGAAGGGTTTTAGGGCTATTAGGGTGTTTAAATAGATATCATCTAAAGACCTTACATAATCCGCAGACTAGAGCGTCGGAGCGTCCTCCCGGGATCCCCTCCCGGAGAACGTTTGACGTGTTTCTCGTTTGTGACTACAGGTTCCGCTTGGAAGATTCTGTAGCCAGTCGGAATCACGCTTGTGGAACGACATCGCAACATTTCGTAATTTCAACAAATAATTATGTCATTATGATATTAGTTACAAAACATATATATTTATTATTTATTAAAGTTTTTATTATCAATTTTCAAGTTATAATTAAATTAAAATTATTTTTAAATTATTCATCCGTGATACTTAAGTGTAGAACCTGGTATATATTATTTGCTACATGTTTAGTCTAAAAACCTTTTCTTATTAGAGAATCTGGTTGGATTATTATCACCGCGAGCAAAAAAAAAAAAAAAAAAAACCCCTTTGGTCTTGACTCAAACCCTTTCTGCGAGTGGATAAAGAATTTGGCCATCAGGCCGTGCACACGTAATAGGTGGCACTGCTGTCTATCAACGTGTCAGATTTCCCCTCTTCATCACCTTCTATCACCACGTGTCACACCTATCCATACTCATCTTCCCGCGGAAACTCCAGGCTCTTCTATAAAATCTCTCCTCCCCTGAAAATACTATTCGTCGTTCCATCTTCTCTCTCTCTCTCTCTCTCTCCACCAATCTCCGTCTTGACACCATGGACTCCATTGCCACCCAAGAACTGAAACACAGAACCAAAGACCAACCTCATCAAGAGGCCGTCACCGGCACCAACATGAAGACTCAAAAGCAGCAGCAGCGGGCGTCAACGATGCCAAGACGTGGCATCCGATCACTGGCTGTAGGTATCGCGGTCCCTCTAGCTCTCACCTTAGCCAACATCTCCTTGTTCGGTTGGAATCGGAGCTACCGGGGCACCCAAAAGGCCTTCTGGATCCCACCCTTGTGGGCTCTACATTTGACATGTCTGTCTTCAGCTTTCGTGATGGGTTTATCCGGCTGGTTGGTTTGGGCGGAAGGCGGGTTCCATAAAATGCCAAAAGCGATGTGGTTTTACTTGGGTCAGCTGGGCCTGAGCCTAGCTTGGGACCCGATATTCTTCAGGATGGGTGCCCCTAAGGTCGGGTTATTAGTGTGTTTGGCTCAAATGGCGACTCTCTTGTCTTGCTCTCGGATGTTCGGCCGGATAAACCAGACGGCAGGTGACTTGGTGAAGCTTTGTTTGGTCTGGTCCGGGTTTTTAACGCTTGTCAACTTGTATTTCGTAGTTTAATCCATATATATATTTATTATATATATGCACATGATCAAGCCATGAAGGGAGGAAGTGTACGCTTTTCACTTTTTTGTATATATATAAAAGTTTCTGCTTTGGGTATCATAGTATGTGTTAATGTGTGTGTATATGGTTACGTAGTTCTTGCTATTTGGGCGTGACTTCAATAACTATACTTGGACTTCACCCTCTACGTAATCGATGATATGTTTATCCCTTAAAAAAGGGGGCATCTTTGTAACCACTTTCTCGAGGAAAACGGGGCTGAAAACAATTAACTTCGCCACCCCGATTGGCGGATTACATGTCACTTTACATGATGATTAGTCTCCTATTAATCACAACCATTATACAATAAGTACATAAACAAGCTTAAAACTAGCAATTTCCATCACAAACTCAAAACCAGAGGGGCGTTTCATGGGCGATATGATTTTAAAATGAATAAAGTATTTCAAAGTAAATAAAATCTGAAGTAACTAAATTTTTTTATATATTTGGTTGCAATGAAATGGGATGGAAATCAATTCCATTTCTTTTGTTTTGTTTGATTTGTAAAGTTGTCAAACCTTCGTTGATTTTTGTGTTTGTTATTTTCTTGTCATATAAAAGATTATCTGAAATTTTACAAAATTACAATTGTTGTTATCTTGTCATATAAGTTCTCTTATTTATGGAGCTTTTTTTTTTCTCTCTTCTAGAATTAAATAAACATATAACTTACATAAATAATCAAACATAATTAAATCAAGAGATTTCCGAAGGCTAAGTTTGTTTTTTTTTTAATAAAATGTAATTCCTTCAAACTCATGAAAGATTAGTGTGACACAATAAAAACAAAGACATGCCATGATTGAAGAGGTTTTTTTTTTTTATGTAGGGCTTCATATAACTAGCATGATTAGTGTGACACAATAAAACAAAAACAAAGACATGACATGATTGAAGTGGTTTTTTATGCAGGGCTTCATATAACTAGGATTGGACTGTATATATAATAAATGCGTTAGGTAAACCCAAGATGGGACGACAAAATCATAAAAATAAAACAAACCAGCCAGCATAAATTAATAAAGACAAAACTTCAAAAATGGTCCTTATGGTTTTCAAAAATATCAAGTTTAATCCCTAAGTTCAAAAAACCTCACAGATGGTCCTTCTGGTTTCAAAACTTTTAACATTTGGTCCTTCTGAGTCCAATTCACTAAGTTAGCATTTCACCGTTAAGTAATGGACATTTTGTCATTTGACTATGACCATTTATGAGGTTTTCTATTACTTTTTAAAAAAATAATAATAATAAATGAATAATATGCAAAGGTCCCACCCCTCTCTCTCTTAATATGCAAAGGTCCCACCCCCCTCTCTCTCTCTCTCTCTCTCTCACACACACACGATCTATAAGACCTCCCTTACACTCCTCCCATTTTATCCACCTTTAACAACCATTACTCCACAATAGCGCCACCACTGCCACCACCTTCTTCCCCACTGGAAACCAACATCCCTACCCTACTGCTGCTGCCGGAGCTCTTTCTTCCACCATCTACAACCCTCTTCTTGCACTACCGAGAAATACCACCATCAAGGGTGGTGTTGGTGTTTTGTAACTACCGAGAACCACCGTGGTTCTCCATCTTTTGCCATTGACCGGAGAAGGCTTCCATTCACCGCCCAAGACCACCTCCCCTCGTCACTCTCCCCCATTTCTCACTTCACTGGTGAGGATGACCACCAAAATCGATGACGGCAATCCCTCCGCCTCCTCCTGTCATAACCCACCACCATTAAATGTCGTCTTTTTTGCAGTGTGCAGTCAGCCAGTAGATGACGCCAGAAAGGGATTTGTCAAAGCACGGATAGGAGCTCTACCACGATATGATCTCTCTCATTGAGAAAGCGCTATCAAAGCCGCTGTCCCAATAGCTTCGTTCAGGAGCGAACAACCACTAAATTGCTTGTTAAATGGAGGAGCAGAAGGGGCAAAGTCAACGACTGAGGCCAGAAGGTATGTGAAAGTAGAAGCCAGGGACAGAGAGAGCGGAGGAGAGGACTGATTGAATGAATGTCATTTCACGCTGATAGGAATGGGGGTTTTCTTTGAGTTCAAGATATTCGGCATAAGCCGTCTTTGCTTTTTCTCTTATCGATGTGATCCTTGTCTTTAGCTTGGGACTTAGCTTGGCACCAGGGCGGCTTGCTTACCTACCTGATGACTTTCTTAGCCGCCTAACCGCTTCCTGTATCTCTTCCTTTCCTGCATCCTCTTACTTCACCGAATAGTAACCACCAGAAGATGGAGTCTTTAACTACCTCTATGAACTGCCTACTCCTACAGCTTGCCTTTTTAAAGCAACTGCTTGGCCGGCTTCTCGTCTTCCATCTTATCCTTCCTCATTCCCTTCTCCTGCTTCCCCATGGACCCTTGTCGAACACCAGCCAATAGAAACGAAGCAGCTAGGTCACCATTGCCATCGCAACCCACCACCATCTTCAACCGCTACCACATCACCGTTTTCTACCACCATCGTTGTATTTGTTGTTGTTGGTAAGCCATCGCCACCCTTGTTAATCTAATTCTGATGTCCAGGTTACCTCCGATCGTAACCACGAGACCCTGCAATTGGGTCTCGTTCCATATTTAGGACCTGCAACACATGATGAAAATGAAGGGATGACACTGTTCAAAGTTTGTTTCCATTTAATTAAATTAAACCTTTAAGTTTGCTAATGTTACGAATTAAGCGGCTCTCCTGAAATAGATCACCATTTAAAATACGAGAGAGAGAGAGAGAGACCTTTGCATATTATTCATTTATTATTATTATTTTTTTAAAAAGTAATAGAAAACCTCATAAATGGTCCCTGGGTAGTGAAATGACAAAAATGCCCCTTACTTAACGGTGAAATGCTAACGGAATGAGCCGGAAGGACCAAATGTTAAAAGTTTTGAAACCACAGGGACCATCTGTGAGGTTTTTTGAACTTAGGGATTAAACTTGATATTTTCAAAAACCACAGGGACCATTTCTGAAGTTTTGTTATTAATAAATAATAAAAGACTTTAACACATTATTTATCTAATATGCTTTGATGATTTCCTAATTCATCTTTCATGTGGATAAAAGAAAAGAAACCATTAAAACATATGATTCCAACAATAACAAAATTAGTATTCCTCCAAAAAAATATACTGCACATCCAGTGAAGCGCTGCATCAAGTGATTCAACGACTGCAGAAAGAAATCCAATTCGGGCCAAAGAGATTGATTGTGTTAGTAACTCCCAGCACTTAAAACCTTGTATTATTATTTACACTCCATAGTCCATAGTAGTAGTACATACCAACACTCACACTCAACAATTACTATAATTTAACTATCCAAATGAAAAATTGATTTAAATTTTTATAAAAAGAGAATTGGGTTACAAGGCTGAATTGCATTTACGCAGAGTTGTTAAGTCTAGCAAGTGACGCATAGTGGGTCTACCATGTGGACAATTCCATGGAGATTTTAGATCCATCAAACGCTCAACTATCTAGATACACAGTAGAAACAAAATTTAGAGATTTAAAAAGAAGCAGCGATAGCCAAAACAAAAAAGGAAAGTAGGTGTAGGTGTACCTTTTTCATCTCGTTTCTTCCAAGTGGATCTCCAATCATAACAGAAGATCTACAGGCACGTGATGCTAGCATTGCACGCACTCTTGGGGGGCAAACGGAGTCACAGGTGTCCATCTTATATGTGCCCATCATTGAGCATTCTCCTTGACTATCCACGAGGATAGATATCAGTTCCTTAACATCTGGAAAATAATCAATTAGTATATCATATAAATAATGATTAGTTGAAGAAGAGATGAATCAGAAAGTAACCTGCAACACCAAAAGTTATGTTCTTACTGAAGGGGACGGCTTTCATTTTATAACGCTGCCCAGGAGGAGCATCCAAATCCTCCTCCAACAAAAACCCATTTTTCCTATACAACAACAACAACACAAACTCAGGCTCTACGTTTATCAATCAATGGATTCCTCCTCATAGCTGAGATGAGAATTAACTGTTTAGACACCAGACTTTACCTGATGGTATCCATGTGCATTGAAACCATCACTTCTTCTTCAGGACTCAACTCCACTGCCACCGGCCTTTTAACATCATCCAATTCCAAGTTCCAACCAGAAACAAACACATGTCATGTCAAACAATATATCTACAAACAAATCATCATAATTCATAAACTCCTCACCTCAGCAACGGTTGTTGGTTCAAGATGGTGAACCGTGACAAACGCTCATAATTGTATTTCTCATCTGCAGCATGCTGATTCATTCATAAATCAAAAACACCATCACATCAGATTCTCAACCACAGTCCACCACATCATAATTTATAGTATACCCATGAAAATGGAACAACAGTTTTCAAATAAGACTATGAGGTAGTAAAGACCTGATCCACAATAAACAGCTCTTCATCCAACTTCCCAATGATAAATCCAAGATTGAACTGCCCAATCACCTACACAAACAAACACAAATACCATGATGCATGGATACACAACTCAATAAACACAATCTCAATAGCACTTGAGAACAACCTTCATACGCCCAAAATCTTGTTTTTTGAACAGCTTTTCAAATTCATTTGTTGCTGCAGATAAAGCCTGTGCCTTGGCCTCCTCTTTTACCACTTGAGAAAGCTTTAATGTTGCTGCAGCATAGCATCTACAAGCAAACAACAACAAACACAGACTCATAAACTACAACTTTGTGCCTCCGCAAAATAATTAATTTTTTACCCTTTAGCCTTATTCAGTTTTCCAGGTGTATTTTTGCTAGCCTGCAATGCCGAAAGTTTTTGATGCCTCCTCTTCTTTAACTCCTCAAAACTAAACTGCATGGTGTAACACATTTTTGAAGGAGAAGAAGCCACTGCCTCATCTGAACAAATATCTATTACTTCCAGTCCATGTCCATCATCTGAACCTGAAGCTGGCTGAGAAGAACGTAATGGACTAGAAATATCTATTACCTGGATAGTGGATAGGAAGCAAGATATTACTTTTAAAAAATTAAAAGTCAACCCACAGTAACAAAGATATCAAATTGACACTACCTCTTCAACTTGTCCCGAGTTTTTCATGACTTTAATAGGAGAGACATCTAATTCATCATGCTGCTCATCCATCATCGGAGTATGATTATCAGAAAGCTTCGCAAATGTACAACACAAACAGAGAGTATTATAAGATTAAAAGTCAACCCAAAGATAGGAACTTGAAATGGACAATACCTCTTCAACTTGTCCAGAGTTTTTCATGGCTTTAATAGGAGAGACATCTAATTCATCATGCTGCTCATCCATCATCAGAGTACGATTATCAGAAGGCTTTGTAAATGTACAACACAAATGAAGGTTTTGATTAACTGATTGATGAAGGTTAGGCCCATTTCTAAGAACAGGGACCTCAGATAAAGTATTCCTGCTGATGCTTTCATGCTTTCTTTTGTTTACAGATACAAATGTTGTAAGCAGCGACTGAACAGCACCTGCAGAATGAGGTGAATCTGTTCCTTTCTGCATTGTTGAGTTGTATGATGTTGCCTGCGAATTATTTCTAGTGTTGTTACTTATAGCTGTATGCTTCCTACTATAGCTATAGCTCCCAGAAAAGGTGTCAGCTTTCTTCATACCGTGAAATTTAAGTGTAAAGTCTGTCTTTGATAAACTATAATCTTCCACATTTATCGGTTTAACAGCAGGTGAGGATCTCAATGGCTCTTCAAATTCATTCATATCAGTGTCAACTTCTACATGTTGCTTCTCGCTGTATGCTTCTTGTTTGCTATCAGGCGATGCCTGCTTTAATGAAAACTGTGAAAAGGACTTATCATGAGGAGAACACAGCTTTGAGTTGTTTCCTCCCTGAGTGAGCTCCTCGGGTCCCTGTACCAAAAAGCTTGCAAGCTGTGGGGAATAGATCTTCAACAAAGCTTCTTTTAAGGACTTCAAAAGAGAGCCTTCATCAGAGAAAAAAACTTTTCTTTTGTCTGGGGTCACATTGACATCGTACACCTTGGTTGGAACAATAAAATTCATGATTGCGATTGGATATTGCTTTGAGTTTGCAGATCTATACAATTCGTTCAGAAGCTTGGTGACTTTTGGCATGTCAACAGGTCGACCATTTATAAAAAAATACTGTCTGTCACCTATATTTCGTCCACTGCCATTGCCCGACTTAGAAAGAAACCCATCCACCTTGCAGGAATCTGATATAACTAGGCTCATAGGTTCTAAGCAGTTGAAAGTGCTCATGCCAAACACTGTAATGATGTTATCTTTGAGTGAACCGCTTCCCTGTGTTTTAAGTACTACAGAGGTTTTGTTTGCTCCGGTCATATTTGTACAAACCATCCGAACACCTTTTGCAGTAAGAGCATATGCCTGGATTGATAACAACAACTATTATGAAATGTAACATGTATACAATCTATGAGCAAGTTAAAAAAAAAAATTAAAAAAAATGTTCCAAATGGAGCTACATGGTGTTTAAAGCAAAAACATCAATAAAGCTGCAAAGAAGGACTTAACAAGAATAGCTTATAGCTCACATTCAATAGTGAAATCAACTTTCCATACTCCTTCCGAATGTTGCGGTGAAACTCTTTGCTTCGCACTGGCAGGTTGGAGAACAGCTTTTTCACAGTAACAGTGGTACCAACTTGGCGTGCCGTCTTTTTCTCATCAGTAAGCAAACCAGAACGGCCAAATGTCAAATGCGTCGCAACTTGCTCGCTTTTCGTTCTTGTTTCGACTGTTAAATCTCCCAAGTAACACAGTGCACTGAGAGCTTCCCCTCTAAACCCGAAAGTCGTCACCGATTGAAGATCAGAAAAATCCGCTAATTTCGACGTATGATGCTTAAGCGCTAGAACCTACCACAAATATTGAAAGCTCAAACCACATCGACAAACTTCACGCTCGAAATAATCAATAAGGCTAATAACGTACCTTGAAATTGTCTGGCGAAATGCCACAGCCATTATCAATGACCTGAAACGATTCTTCGCCGTATTCCTTTAGGGCAATCTCAATGCTAGTGGAGCCGGCGTCCAAGCTGTTCTCGACCAATTCCTTAACGGCGGAGGGGAGGTCCAAAATCACTTGGCCTGCGCAGATTTTGTGGATGGCACTCTTGTTTATAGGTTTAATCGATGGAGATGCCATGGCCGATGAAGCTGCTCCATCGCCTTCCATTGAAACAACTGTACGGTCAATTGTAGATAATCACATCTTAAACCGACTATGCCCTAATCAAACGATCATTTTACACGGACTACAGTCGAACTCGAAAGAGTTCAGTAATAGAAAGAAATTTTGATGGATGTGAGTGATCGATTTGAGGAACCCTAGTTATTGTAATGTTTTGCCGCCAAACGGAAAGATGATGTATTTTGGGAAAAACAAAGGTTTTTTGAAAAATCGATATATCATAAAAAGCGTTTTGAATAATATGTATAAAAATACACTAGCCGTTTACCCGCGCTAAGCGCCGGGCGGCAAAAAGTTTCTTTCGGAAGATACTTTTAATGTGATGATTAGTTTCCTGTAGACGTGAGCTATTCATTGCGGCCATTTGGTAGACTATTTTGTGTCGAATAATTCATTTCAACATATAGTTTCTTGCTAGGTGCATAGTCATACAATACAACAAAAGTTGAGTACACCAGATAAACAGGAATAGTTTCGCTTCCCTTTGATGATTTTTCCAACAATATCTAAAAATAGCAATAATTAAAAAGACAATTAACTTATTATTTTAAAAACTTTAGAATGCTAAAAGTATATATAAGTTATTAAATTTACCAATCATTATTTTTTTCTCTGTCCGATCCTCTACTAAACTTTTTATTGAGGGAACCAATGGAAAAACCGGAAACCATGATATGATAGCATCAGCCAAACGATTAAACCGTGTGTTATTGCTGATCTTAATCATCAAATCGCCACGTAATAAACTGTATTCTTGCTACCTCGGATACTCAGCATAGGTTGGTTCGATTTGGAAATGGTTTAAAGAAAACACACCACCCAATAGATTCCCTCCATAAATAAAACGCATCATTTGTTGTGGAACAACTGCTAACAATTTCTCTCTCTAATAGAAAGTGTAATATTTTTATAAACAAAATACTTATGATAAATTATGAAATTGAAAATAAGATATAAATAGTTTTTTAAACATACATTTTGATCAATGAGAACCATGAAGAGTTTGTTTGCTCTTGAGTCCCTCCAAATGAAATCCACACGAACAGGTGTCAAAACATACCACAAATGGTAGTTTAGTAGCAATGAAAATGCATAAATTACCATTCATGATTCTACCAAAAAAAAAATCTTTCAATTTGATAGATATTTATCTAGGCATTACTTTGTGAGATTGCTTAAATTTGAAATTTGTTCTTGTATAGTTAAAATAAAATAAATTATTTTACTATAGATTAAGTTGAACGATTTGTTTAAAAAAAAAGTAAATACAAAAATATCATTTTCAATAATAATAATAATAATAATAATATAGCATTGATAAAGAAGAAAGAAAAAGGTGGCGTTGGTTTTTTGGCAAGTTGAAGCTATCGGATCATATGGGTTGTCTTGTTTTCTAAAAGGACACATGTCAGAATCTTAAAGGTGATGTCAGTAGAATGAGTGGAGAACCGTTGATGAGTGGGTCAAAAGTTATACAAATATTAATTATATAAGAAAAACTATTTTTTTTATAAAAAGTAATTAGAAAAAACAAAGTCCTAAAACACAGTCACACTTGGAAAAAGAGACAATCGTCCATGTGTAAAGCGGTAAACCCAATTTAATGTAAATTCACACCCAATAATAATCAATCATTTTTGCTAAAACACTTTTTTGAACATAATATAAAAAAAGCCAAACAAAACTATAAAAAATTATACAAATATTAATTATAAATGAAAAACTATTTTTTTATAAAATTTAATTAGAAAAAACAAAGTCCTAAAACAAAGTATAGAAAGTAGTAGAAAAAATATATAACAATTAAAGCCTTAATTGAAAAAAGAAGGTTCTGTATTAATTTCGAAATATATGTTTTAAAATATATATGAATCAAAGTTGTAAAATACAGTTTATAAAAGTGTAGACAATGTACATGTAAAAACGAAGAATGTGGTCAGGATCCGGGGATAAAAGAACATGCCACAATCAATTTGATAATTATAAGATATGTATTGATTAAAAATATCCAAAATAAACCAACAATACATATAATCTGAAAAAAGTATATACAAATCAATATCATTTAATTTATCAAATCAAACTCAAAAACAGAATGTATGATTCACTCATACTCAAACTCAAAAATAGAATGTCCCAACTTATACATATACATATACAAACCACACATATACAATGTCAGAAACAAATACATACACACATATACATATTATATACATGTATTATTTGAGATAGAAGAATAAGAAGATTATCACTTTTAGATAGAAGACAGAATAAGAATATCATTTGAAACAAAAGAAGTCTATCACTTCAAACAGAAGTAAGAAATAAAATATTATACACACTTGAAGTTACGAAAGATAGAAGAAGTAAAGAGAACCTGAATTTGTGTCAAGAAACGCAATGAAGCAGTCTTCCCGATTCCAAATCAATGATCCAATCGTCCCAAAACCCTAACTGTCAAATTGTGGTGTGAGAGTTAAAAATGAAGAACATAAATTAAATTTATAGGTGGAATAATCTATTATATAATAGAAAATGATGTATTTTTGGATATTGATAATCATTCCAAAATTAATCAAATTAAAATCTTACCATGAATATTCACATTGACAAATATATTTGAAAATTTAAATAAGAATATAATAGCTGTCAAAATCCATACCAAAAATATTTAAAATCTTACAAACTTAACAAATATAATAAAAAAATTTAAAATGAATATAATAACTATCGAAATCCCTACCAAAAATAATTCAAATCATATGAAACTTAACAAATATATACTCAAAAATTTAAAAATGAATATAATATTTGTCGATTTTATTTTTGGAAATATATTGTATTCTAAAGAACATGCAACAGATCGGTTTTATATAAACGTCATTTTTTTCTAGATGCAAATAATAGCAATATAATTTATTTATTTATTTAGTGTAAAATCATGTAAAGTGGTTTCACTTTATGTGTAAAGGAATAATATACTCTTTTACACATAGAAAGATGTAAGTACTTACATTGCCTGTTGATGCTGATATAAGGGTCAAAAGTGTGACTGTTGCACCATGATACTCTTCTAAGATTTTGTATGCTGAATCATCTAGTTTCTCCTGTCAGAATCAATTTTTTGATAAATTTTGATTTCAAGATGCAAATCATTTTATAAATAAGTTAAGTTTTGCCTCATCAACTCAACTATATACAGAGGTTTTATTTATATGATACCTTTAATTTAGAGATTGTAACCGAAATGGTCCTCCCTGGTGCTTGAAGAGCTCTTCCATAAAACTATGTATGGCCCCACCACAACACAAGTTACACAACAGATGAAAAATGAGATAAATAATTATCAATAATATAAAACCAGAAAAAAAAAAAGTAATCTGTATATAAAGTAGAGAAACGACTTTAGGCAAAATGGTGACTGGATCAGTTTCACCAGATACTTGACTTGACAAATCCTGAAAACTTTAAACAAACATTAACATTATTTGTATTTTTATAGTAAAAAAACTCAAAGCTTGCTTAATATAAGTGATGTTTCCATTTTGAACCCATAAAATGTTAAGGTACCTTTCGATACGAATGGAGGAGACTTCTTTCCAACTTCTTGTCAAGCTTTTTCATAATTAACCCACTACATATACATAATTCGTTAAATAATCAAATTTAAATTATTCAAAGTTTAGTATAAGAAGTAACATAATAATAATAATTTTTATTTTGGATAATTAGTTTTCTTGTAACTTACCACTCATCTGCAAATGCTCTTAGTGTTGTCATATATGCTTCCACACGCTGTCACATAAAACATAGGACAAAACATCAGACTCTATAATAAGCTTAAGAAATTAGGTACTAATTCATATTCTGTAACTTCAGCATGTGCAGTTGGATCAGTGTGTTTTATGCTTACCCCAGTACCACTGCAAGGGGCATCCAACAAAACCCTGTCTGTTGTGTTATGTCCTAATACTTTTGGGAGCTGAAATCAAATAAAACAAAAGCAAATTAAAAAAATGCCCATTGTTTTTCATAAGAGCTGCAATGTATAAAGTTTTACCACCAGGAGAAGCCCTACAACAAGTAAAATTTATTTTTTTTAAATGTATTAAAACAAAGAAAGTATATAAAAGTGAGAGATTACAATTCCTTTTAAAAACTTTATACAAACTAAAAGTTTTTAAATCATTATTTGGAGATAAAATGTAAAAATATGATGAATACTTATGCCATGTCAACAATTCGTTCTTTCTCTTGAGGAGCAAGAGCCATTACAGGTAGAAAAGAGCTTGCACTTTGCACCTGTAAAGAATAAGCAAAATTTATAATTTAAAATAAATAAATAAATAAAACTTTTTTAATTAAGAAATATATATATATATATATATATATATATATATAGCTATATAAGTACCATGTAATGACCAGCCATGTATTCTGGAGTTGCACCATATGGCACTTGATGATCATATACAACCAAGCCAACCTGTTGTCATTGTTCAAGGGGCAATTATGGAAAAATTACATATTTTTATAAATAAAGATGATGAATGATCCTTACCTTTGACCACTTGCTTAATGGATCCAAGTTGATGCCTCTATTCAACAAAACACTAGCCAAATCATGTCTCCTTGTCTAATCATCATGAAAAAATGGAGCTACATTAGTATGATATCAAAAAAGAAAAATGATAAAAACAAATAATAATAAGTTTTGTTTAATTATAAAACTAAAAAAGATGACGGATTTGTCCACTCTTGATGAAATTGCATGTGTCATCCTCACCAACTTGAGACTCAAACATAATATCCCTGTAAAAGCAACAAACAAAAAAAAACAAGTATCATCAGATATAACAGTAACTATGAAAGAAGAGGATGCATGAAATGGAACAGAAACAGAAACAGAAAGACTACCTTGGTAAGCATTTCCTGAGGTATGATTTTGGACATAGCCTGCAGATAGCAAACTGCAAGTCTTTCACTTTTTCATTTTCTTTTTGCTTACACACAAGAATCGAATATTTCCTTGGGTACAGCAACTGAAATCCCATCCTTATCCAAAACCCTAACAACAGACAATCTAGAATTGAGAAGAGAATAAAAATTTTGTTTGAATTGTTCTAGTTTCACCCCTATCTTTGACCCTAATGACCATTACTTGCAATAACAGAAGACAATGTCCATTATTTACAATCCCACTTTGCATTTCAAACCAGAAAATAAGGAAAATCAAAAGCATATATAGCAAAATGACATGCAGTAAGTAACATATAAGACACTGATTTGAAGGTATGGATGATATTTGTGAAGCTGGTGGCTAACGATGGTTAGGGTAAAACCTATTATGATTAGTGGGGTTGGAGAGAAAATGCTCTACAAATTCGACACTTGTCCCCTCCAAATCCCAGAACAATTTATCTTTACGTGTCCTCCAACTTGAATACAAATGAAATTTCCATTCAATATAGATAAATTTTTTGACTTAATGTACCGTAGGAAAAAAAAACTTACCAGATCAAGTGTGGGGGTTTGACGCTGAAGAAGTGGCGCTAGGGAAGATACTGCTTGGGGGTTCATCGCCAGAGAAGTACCGGCAGAGACTGCATGGAGACGGCGATTTAAGACAATTGTTGTTGGAATGAAGGAAATTGGGTTCCATGGCATCGATTATATAGTTGAAAGGGAAGAACACTCAGGTGAGTATGTAAGGGTTAATGTGGGACCATCTTCTAGGTTGTACCGGCGAAAGGTTGGTGATGTTAGCGTAGGGCTGCTGGAGGGTTGAGATAGCGATGGTTTCAGGAGGGTGGAAGTAGAAGAAAGAGGGGAGAACCTTGAGGACAGGAGTGACGACTTGGCCAACAAGACGGGTTGAGATAGCGATTTCCAGATCTGCTCAGCATCTGGTCAAGAAACAAAAAGACTCATCAACACCGTTTAGGGTTTTTATGAGAGAGAGAGAGAGAGAGAGAGAGAGAGAGAGGCGATGGAGAAGTGACAGAAGAGATTGGGAGAAATGACGGCGGCCGTGGACCTTCGGTGGGAGACTGGAGATCACTGCATCTTTGGTGGAGACGATGAGAATAGGTTTGATGGCGGCTGTGTTTAGGAAATTAGGGTAAGGTCTCGTGTAGTGTATGCAGTGTATGTAATACGTATATGATGTAATAGATCCGTGTAGTGTAATAGGTATAAGATTGGTTATATACGTATATGATGTAATAGATCCGTGTAGTGTAATAGGTATAAGATTGGTTATATGTTTATGCTTAAAATTATTGTATATGTTGTAAATTGGGCAATATCCTTAATAATATAGTAAAGATATAAAATAATTTCTCATTTAACCACGTTAATTTTAATAAGTTAGGATTTTAACTTTTCAAAATAAGTTATAACTTTAGTGTTGTAAAAAACAAATAACTATACATTTATACATTTCCCTGGGAGAGTCGTAAAAAACAAATAGACCTGTCAATAGGGCGGGTTTTGACCCTGATTCGCTCCAAACCCGTAAAATTTTTACGGGTTTGGATTTTAATTTTCGATTCGTTTACCCGTTTACGATCCATACTCATTTACCCTTTTAATAAATGGGTCGGGTATGGATCATTGTCGATTCGCTCTACTTATAACCCGCTCCACATATATATATATATATATATATATATATATATATATATATATATATATATATATATATATGACAACAAAATATACAACTCGATGTCTAAGTAAAATATGATTTTTATTGTAATGGACTTTGAGTATTAATTAATGTACATCTTGTTTAAGTAGACATTTTATCTTTTTGAGAAATATTATTTTGTGGAACGCACAAAAATTATGAAAATTTAATAATATAAAAGGGTCGGGTATTCGTTAATTCGGTGGACACGGGTATGGATTTGACTATTCGAAACCCTGATGGTTATTGGAGCGGGTCGGGTCATGTTTTTATTTTTTTAAACGGGTTTGGATCAAGGGTGATTCTCTCCAAACCCGCCCCATTTACAGGTCTAAAAACAAATAACTATACATTTATACATTGAGAGTGATACATGTTTAATTAATTAAATAATTATTTTATATCAATTGTTATTGTTATATTATAAATGTTAATGCATTATTTTTACAAAAACTTAACAAGACACTATCGTTATTCTATCCGCATAATACAAAATATTTATTATATTATGTTGTTATTCTGTTCCTATAGACAAAACTATATAATGCTAAGATGGGTCCCTTGACCCACCTAAATTTTAAAATTTTACATTAAGTTATATATAAAAAAATTAGAACTTATCTTATATATTTTGAATGATGTATCTTAATGTGTTTGACAAAAAAAAATATGGTTTTGAATGATATATCTTAATGTGTTTGACAAAAAAAAATGTAAACTGCAGACAATCAAAGCATATCATATTTTTTAGTATAAAAAATAGGAAAACTGCAATAAAGTCCCTACATATTGGCCTCATAATCGATTTAGTCTTTATATATTTTTTTTATTCAATTAAGTTTCAAATACCGGTAATCGTATTCAATTTAACCCTTTGACCCGGTCAACAGGTCATCCAACTTTCAAAAATTACATTTTTAGCCCAGATTTCAAAATTTATTACAAATTTGGTCCAAAATTTACACTTTTCGCAAGTTTTTAAATTTTGTTACAAATTTGGTCCAAACTTTTTAGAATTTTATTATGAATTCATCATAACTTTAGTTTTTTTTACAACTTTTTTTCTCAAAAAATTGTTCTAATATGTTTTTTCTTTATAAAATCATATTTATACAAAAAAAACGTATTTCACATAAAAATCTTATATTTTCTATATAAAAAGTTTTTTTTATATGAAATATCTAGTTATAAAGATATGTATTTATTAAGTATATAAATATATACAAACCCGTTTTTTATAAAAAAATATATACAAAAACGTATTTTACAAAAAATATATATATATACAAACACCTATCACCTATATATATATATATATATATATATATATATATATATATATATTTATAAAATCGTGTTTGTTTATATTTTTTATAAAAATGTGTTTGAATAATTTTTTATATAATATGTGTTTGTGTACATTTTATAAAATCGTGTTTGTATACATTTTATAAAATCGTGTTTGTATACATTTTATAAAAACGTGTTTGAATAATTTTTTATATAATACGTGTTTGTATATATTTTATAAAATCGTGTTTTTATACATTTTATAAAATGTATACAAACACGTATTACATAAAAAGTTATGCAAACACGTTTTTATAAAAAAAATATAAACAAACACGATTTTATAAAAAAAATATAGATAAAATAGGTGTTTGTATACATTTTTTTGTAAAATACGTTTTTGTATACATTTTTTTTATAAAAACGGATTTATATATATTTATATACTTAATAAATACCTATTTTTATAACTAGATATTTCATATACAAAAAACTTTTTATATAGAAAATATAAGATTTTTATGTGAAAATACATTTTTTTGTATAAATATGATTTTATAAAGCAAAAACATATTAGAAACAATTCTTTGAGAAAAAAAAGTTGTAAAAAAAAACTAAATTTGGGATGAATTCATAATAAAATTCTAAAATTTGGGCAAAAAGGGTAAAGTTTGGACCAAATTTGTAACAAAATTTAAAATTTGGGCCAAAAGTGTAAATTTTGGACCAAATTTGTAATAAATTATGAAATTTGGGCCAAAAATGTAATTTTTGAAAGTTGGATGACCTGTTGACCGGGTCAAAGGGTTAAATTGAATACGATTACCGGTATTTGGGACTTAATTGAATAAAAAATATATATAGGGACTAAATCGGTTATGAGGTCAATATGTAGGGACTTTATTGCAGTTTTCCTTAAAAAAATCACACATCCACTCTAGAAAGAAAGTTATAAGGAGATTTTCCATTATAAATAATTGTTTCCTCTTTTCGCACTTTCAAGTTACTCTAAGACTCTAAGTATAATGTTGATTATTTTATAAAAAAAAAATACAAATTTGGCTCGGTTATGGAACCACGTGGTTTTCTACTCTAGACTTGCCAGTGTAACTATTCGTATAATTTATTTATTATGCATCGTCTCTATTCTGCCCGTATAATATGAATAATTATTATACCATATCGTTACTCTTTCCGTTTAATTTTTGCAAAGATAATTAAACGTTATAATTATAAACTAATTATACAACACAACATTGGGCTAATAACTTAAAATTATAAAGTTAAGGCTACAACTATTAAGGCTATTCACGTAATGGTTGAATGATACACAAATCATCATCTAAGTATAATACTTAGCTAAGACCACTGCCTATAATCATTAAATTTTAAGTGAGCGGGGATAGTTATGTATAGAATTACACGGGTTGACACCTCCCACATGCGATTGCTAGTTGTTAGGGCCAAGATCCTCAACCCTAATCAGGATCCCGGATCTTCAAGAACTTTCAGGATCCCGAACATATCTCAGGATCCTAACCATTATTATTATTATTTCCTAACACTTCTACCGAATATATTTCTGGTCTTTTCTCACATGTACAGAATTAGTCAACATAAGACTCATTCTATCACACCCCCAAACCGGAACGGCGGAAACGTTCGGGGGTGGATGACGTCATGTACAATATCACAACAATTGAATAATAGTAATCAAAGCAACAATCATTACATTGATAAAGTATAGTTTGTACATCTGTTCATAACATTGTTTGTATGACAACAAAAGTGTATAACAAAAACTATAAGATGTGACACTATAATGCTCCGTCTTCTCAAAATCTGTAAGTGTACCTGTCTACTGGTTCCCTGAGAATACAAATGATTTTGAAAGTGTATCAACATTTAAGTTGGTGAGTTCATAAGCATGTTTGTAATTGAAATCAGTCTTTTGTTCTTTGGAAATGTAAGTATGTTCTTCCATAAAATCCTATATGGTCTGTTGTAAATGAATTGTAGTCTTAATATCATAAGACCAAAAAGTGTAAGTCTTGTTGTACTCAATAATATTATATTGTAGTCTTATTATTAAATAAAACCATGTGAAAATAAATGTTTCTCTTAAATGTAAGTTTCTTTGTACTGGAAAATAGTACACTGTAGTGTACTTGTATGAAAACTCTGTAAATGTATGTGTCTGGATTCCACCAGCTGTAATGTAAAATATTGTATTGTAGTTCTATTATTTAATAAAACTACTTGAAGTTGTTTATGTATTCTTACACTAATCGTATTGTTCAATACCAAATTGTGAGTTATTATCATTGTGCTTGATGACCTAAGATGGCATGAATACGACGTTCTTCAGGCGTCGGAAATGGTATGACATTTGTCACCCCAGGCCTGTCGGCCTAACTGTAGCTAACAGTTTAGGTGCAGGATTGTCAGTCTCATATAGATCTATACACAAGTGTCACACGCTCCCTCCAGGAGACTCTGTTTATAATGTCAGGGCTTGGTTGGTACTTAGGTAAGTACTTGAAGTGTGTCTCACGAAGCTATACTGGCGGTTACATGTAGAATAAATGAAAATCACTTTGTAATAAATAACTGTATGTATGTTTCATAAACTATACCTATTATAGTTTATATGTTTGTTCTAGTATTGGTTCTTGAACTAGTAAAGTAGTATGTGTGTTCCATAAACTATACCCATTACAGTTTATAAATATGTTCCTTATGTAATGAAAATATTTATGGAAATACCCCTTTTGCTCGGCATGTTACAAAAGGGTTAAAGTTTATATATATATATATATATATATATATATATATATATATATATATATATATATATATATATATATATATATAAAGCATATATAATTGAAATTAAACAGACAGTCGGACAAGTGATTTTACCCTAAGCCCACAACCAAACAAGGAACAAGAGTTAAAGCGAAAACACTAGTCCTAAGTCTATTGAATCTAATATATATATATATATATATATATATATATATATATATATATATTTATATGCTAGCAACATACCCGCGCGATGCAGCGGACGATTAATGTGATGTATGGTGTTTTTTTTGGCATAGACATTTTTTTCAAATTATTAGTTTCCTTTTGAATCTGTTTGTCCTCAAGTTATCCAAGCTTTTTATTTTATTTTGCCTCTTTTACCTGAAACAGCAAGTTCCAAGTTACCAAGAAATATAGTTTTCAAACCCTAATTCAAAAAATCATACCCAAAAAGAAAAATCGGCTAATATGAAAAAAAAACATACTTAGGTTGGAAACGTAGAATATTTGTAAACTAAATGGTTTTTTTTTTTTTTGAAATTACATTTTATGGTAATATGAAAAAATGTTATTAAATGTAAAAATGACAAAAATAAAAAAACTTGGACGTCTTTAATGTCAAAAGCCCTATAAAATTTAAATTGTTTTTCATTTCAATTTTTTCGTATGAATTTTGTAAACAAAAAATAACAATAATAATAATAATGTAAAAAAAGTTGTCAAAAAGTGAATATATTTACAATAAATTTTAGTGTGAACAATTTTTTTCAAATCAGACAAAAGATACATCATTATGTTTTATTATAGGGTAAATTACACCAATCGTCCATCGTGCATATGTCAATAAGCGTGTTTAGTCCCTATTTTCAAAAATTAACTCGGACCGTCCCTCGTTTGCTTAAAATTTGCGTGCTTCGTCCCTTCGTACATAAAAAGACTATTTTGCCCTTAATAATTTCTTTTTCAATTGTCTTTTATTTGTTTATAAATTTTAAATTTAAAGAAAATAATAAATAAATAAATATCTCCACTTGATCGGACCTCCCCCTTCCCTTTCCTCATTTTCCTTTCGTCCCCCCAAACTCACCTGAAACAAAAATGGCAGACTGCCTCTCTCTACTCTGCTTCCGTCTCTCACTACTTCTCCGAAGATAAAACCTTATTACGACTCTACAACTCTAGATCCATCGACATCGTTGTGGAAAATAACTATGTTGTCTCTCCTGTCTTTGTATCTGTAAATTGGATTCAAACGAGAGATGTTGATAACGATG